GAGAAATCAATTGTACCTCCAATACTGGAAATTACAGCCAAGACCACATGCTCTGCAGTCACGGCCAATGTAGTCAAACCTGCACACAGTTACTCAACCTTATATCATAGCCAGATCATAGCACAAAACCACTGTGGGCATATAGAAGAAAACGCCATAAGTTCAATTCAGAGAGGCCCTTACTTGTCAACATCTATACCATTGCGACCATTAGCAACAATGTCATAAAGAAAATGCTTCTCATTTGCACTCTGAAGAAATAATTTTCAGAATTCATCCAAAGTAAGCAATGCATTTTCAATACAGGTAGAAAACCAGGCTGGAAACAGAGAAGATACATACTTTTGTGCTGGCAGGCTCAGAGCTGACAGTTATCATGTCCTACAGAACATTTTAATGTTTAATTAAGGTTTAGGAACTTCTATATAAATACTGTGATGTACTATAACGAATTGTATGCAATTATTTTACATTTTTGTCCATGTGATCCCATGCTTACTCCATATATAAACAGAAGCAGTAGATCACAGAACATATTAAACTGCATTCATCCATATTACCAAGCTGAATCTTTCATGGAGAGGGGGAGTTGGTTAAAGATGGTCATTAGTGTGTGCCACACAAGGACTGGAAGCAAAATGATTCTTACCTTGACCATTTTGAGATAATCATTTTCAATATCTATTGCATGTTTGTCAACAATGCTGTCCAAAAGGAGCACTGACATCTTTTCATGGGACCTGAATGAACAAGAGCATAGAAGTTAAGGCACCAACCCCAAGATAGGTAAAGCATTGCAGCATGGGTAGATAAATGTCAGAATGATCAAAACTATATCTTTTATTCATGAACGTGGCTATGCACCCGTTTTTCATTAAGAGGCAAGAATGATGAAATTATATCATCACGCCATCATGCACAATGTAAATGTATACCCATTCAGAATGTGGACAGAAACAGCATGTGATTTTAAAGGCATAAGCCATAACAGCTAAAGTAGCATAAACTCATAACAAACGAAAGAGAAGGGAACATACATATGCATAACAGCTATACAAGTAGAATAACCTTAGGCTTGTCTTTTGAACCACTGGACCTAACCATAACTTAAGTTATAGGACAGCACACCTAGATGTAATTAACACCATATATGAAAAGGAGCCAAATGCCAAAAGAGAATCACCAGGATGAGCCAGGATCAACTCTAGGAAGAAACTCATGCTCAAACAAATGACTGAAGGGTCCATGTCCAATATCATGCAAGAGACCTGAATAAGAGTTAAGCACGATCACAAAGATGTTTAATAATTAATGAACCCTAGATGTGTAGACCAACCTGCAAGCTTTACAGTCTGCATGTCGACATGATCAATGCCAAGCTCTTCTCCCTGTCAAAAGAAAACATTACCTTAACCTTAACATTTTAGCTTTCCAGCATTTCAGTCAGCTTCAGAGTTCAGATTGATGCCACACACACCTGATATGTCTTAAGATTATTTATAGACTTTCCAGCCAACGAATAGACACCTAATGAGTGTTCGAAGCGTGTGTGAACCGCTCCAGGATAGACGAGATATGTAAGACCTGAAAACCATCAAAAATATGTTATTGCAACATCAAATACAGTTGACAGTATAAAGTCCACCTAAATTGGATTTTACAAATAAAAGTAAGCGTTCTCATATGTTATTTTGAAAAACTTGAAAACATAAGCATCCATGTAAATAACAGAGTAAAGTGTTGCATAAATGTAAATAGTCAACTAAGCGAATTCAGGGACGACAAAGCTATGTATTTCAATCACTGCATAATTTTCTGCACAAATAGTGAATTGGTTGTAGTCATGTCAACCCAATAAGGAACAAATCATGAATCTTGAACAGATAGTTATCATGTATAGCAATAACCATTATTAACCCTCATCAGTTTTGTCTGCTTGATTTTGTTCAAAAAAGAACTTTTTGTCCGCTAGAATGACAAATACATATTAACTGGAATGCTAAACAACAAATAACAAGCAATGGAACTCCATTTCGTTTTCAATATGTCTGTCTAAATTCCACAAATTGAGAGAGAAACTGAACTCACCAAGTTGTTTCAAGTCCCGCAACCTAAATAGCATGATGTATTGAAATCAAAATCATGATTAGGCCATAAAGAAGTTGAATAGATAAATGAGAAGATGTAATTAACTAAACTCAGTCACCTCTGAAACTCCTCGGTATCAACAAACTGCAGGGCAAACTGCAGAACAAAGACCGAAACAATTATTATTTATATATGGGAGTGCTATGAGCAGCAGAAGTTACATGAATGGCACCGCACCATAGCCAGTTCCTGAGATATACTATATATGAGACGTTAGTTTTAAGTTTTAAAACATCCAAATCCAGTTGTAGCCTTAATACAAGTGCAACTTGTTGGAAGTCATGGTTAACCAATTTGCCAGCAATGAGAAAACAGAGGTACCAGGCATGACTATCAGGGCTATGCAAACAGGGTCAAATAGGTTACAGATAGATGCATGAATGCAAACTTCACAAGCTGTCAAAGCATACTCATTTAGTATTTGTTGGACTATTAGCACCAACCTGTTTTTGAAAGGGCCTAGCGACCATTACATGAATAGAATAAATAAATTTCCTATTGACCCTTATGCAGAAATCTATAAATGTTCAATGTTCCTAAAATGTGAATATATTGCTTATCAATAAAAATGGTTAGTAATGCTATTTAGATAGCACTGGATCCATGACTATTCAAGACTGAAATTAAAAGAGTATAAACATAAGTGGTTATCTATGGTGTAAAGTAAAACACCAAGCATAAACACTTTATAAGATGTAAAGTGATTATGAACAACAACAAAACAGGCGGGCCAATATAGACTTGTCATGTACACCAAACGGTTGCTCTTTCACCAGTGGAGTCAATACTAGTAATGCACAGATGAAACTGCCTACCTACCCAAAAATAGAGAACTAGTAAAATGCTGACATGATTTAAAATTTTATTTGCAGTATAACACCTGAGGTCAGGTTGAAGTCACATGTAACAGTCAAAGCAAATTAAACTAGCCACCGGAGACTTGTTTATGGCCCAACAAGTCAACAAAAAATAATACCTCTCCCTCTAAAAGTAGCACTAGCATTATTCTCCAGTTACTCCTAGATTAGAATAAATAAACGTACCCCCGTTGAATTTATTAATTTGGAAAAAACGAGACGCCACATGCACAGCTAATCATGCAAGGAGTCCATGCGCCACACCAACATCAACATGCAACACATGAACAGGACCAAACACCAAAACATAAAACAAAACGGCACAGCGCAACAATTAGAAACACATGAAGAGATGGGAATCTACTGTGTCCGGCTCATCAAGGCAGTTGGCACAAGGAATTGAAGGAAGAAAATTAAGAGCGGGGCGGCGGAGCAAACCCTAAAAGGGTGAATAACTATTGCTTTCACACGAGCAAAATAACGGCATCGCAAGAGTAAACAGCGGCCGCGGAAAACGTAGAACCAAACGAAACAGATGCGTATCAGAAAACCCGGAAGGGCATTGCATAATCCTGCTCCACCACTAGCCGGCAACGCGTGCGGCAAGCCGAACTGATGAAAAACAGCAATGAACGAACATGCATCGTCTACCAATTCATCCACCCCCGAGGAACAGGAGGCGGAGGAGGACCGACACGATCAAGGATCATCAATCAATCAATCCAGGAGCAATGAGGCGAGGAGAGACGAGAGCAGGGGCAGCGAAGTAAGGATGCAGCGGAGCTCACCGGGTCGAGCGAGATGCTCCCGTGGAGGTTGTCGAAGACCTGCTTCACGTAGCGGCGGTCGCAGCTCCCGGAGGGGCAGTACTCTCCCATGTCTGCGCCGCGGTTCTCCTCCTCCCACCGTACCGCCGCCTCCGAGTTCCCGAACGCCCGGAGCGCGTGCTCGTGCTCGTGCGTCGTGGGGCGCGTTGCGAACGGGCGGTGGTGGGGTTGTGCCTTTCGGAGGTGGGGATGGGGTGTCCGCGTGGGTTCGTGTGGGTTGGCCGGTTGGGGGATGCAAAGCTGGAACAGGCGAAGCGGGGAGGACAAGAAAAGGAAATGGAATCTTTGGCGCTGTGGCTACTCCACCTAAACTTTAAAAATCGTCTAACGAACACCCTAGAGTTTCTTGAACCGCTTAGTTAACCCCTGGAGTAGTAGTTTTGCGTTTTGGCACTCCAACGTGGAAAGTAAGACAGGGTGGCGGCGGGCCCCAGATGTCAGTCCCCTTCCCCAAATACGGATGCCTTGGCCTGGCGGCGACCTCCTGGCTCGCGGCGCAAGAGCGGCGGCAGCAGCGCGAGACTGTGCCGGTGAAAGAGCAGCGGGCGGGCGAGCCTGTGCCGCGGCGACGGCGGCGAGGCGCGGGCAACAAAGGGCCGGGGAAGGACGGGGCGCTCACCTAGATTCATGAGCGGCGGCGACAAGAGGCCGGCAGAGATGCCGCCGGCCACAACTTCTCCGGCTCCGCCGCCAGGTCCTCCGCCGGCTCCAGCAGCGGCACCAATCCGGACGCGGCTCCTCTCCTCCGTCGCGTAGGTAGCGCTCACGGCCGCGCTCGTCTGCGGCGCTGGCGGCCCCGCTGTCGTCGCCGTTCCGGACGCCGCCCGTTCGTCCGTCCTCCTCCGCTGCAGGGAAAGCCCTTCGCCTCGTCCACTCCTTACGCGCAGTCTCAGAAGCTGCAGCTTGGCCTTGACAAGCTCGGGTTAGTTTATTGCCTGATGCATGGCCAGTGCATGTTCGATTGCTGTATAACATATGTACTACCTTAGGTACTACATTTGTTTGAGGTACAGCATCTTATAAGCTATCTCTTCTAGGCTTTGGCTCTTCTTTTTTTTTTCTTTTCTCAAACACTCAGGAGACCATCTCCTCTGGCTCTGGCTATGGGCTGATGGTAATTTACAACCAATTACAAACACTGAGAAACAGAGAAAACAACAACGAACAGCTACCTGCACAGGCCAACACAACTATCTGATGAACAAGAGAAGAAAAGAAAGACTGAAAACTGAAAAGGCAGAAAGCCTAACACACAAACTATGCCAACGGGAAACGCTGAGAAACAGAGAAAACAACAACGAACAGCTACCTGCACAGGCCGCCGTGAACGCAGCGCTGATGGCGTACACCTTCCACCCGGCGATGGCCATGACGAAGACGAGGAACGCGGAGGGGACGAGGCAGAGCACGACGGCGGCCGGCAGGCGGGCCGGGACGCGGTACGGGCGCGTCAGACCGGGATGCTTGACGCGGAGCCAGACGAAGGCGGCGAACTCGAGGAGCATGCCCAGGCTGTAGAGGAAGTTGGCGGCGGCCACGATGATGTCGAAGCTGAAGAAGGACATGCCCAGCGTGATGGACCATGGAGTATAAGAGCGTGTTTAGTTAGAGGAAGTTGGAATTTAGGGTTACTACATAGCATTTTCGTTTTTATTTAGTCATTAGTGTTTAATTATGAACTAATTAGGCTTAAAATATTCGTCTCGTAATTTTTCACCAAATTATGCAATTAGTTTTTTTTCATCTATATTTAATGCTCCATGCATGGGCCGCAAATATTCAATGTGATAGATACTGTAGCATTTTTTGGGAATTTAGGTGGAACTGAACACGCGCTAATAAGGATAATGTTTACCACTGCATCGCGTGCCTTGCAGCGGCAGGTGTCCCCACTCCGGCAGGTTCCATGAATAACGGCTCGTCCAACTGGTTGGTTGCCTTGTGTTTCATGTGCCGGGCCTAATCGAATAGAAGAATCTGATTTGTCTCGGCCTACAATCTTACTGGTGGATAGCAAAACAGTAAATTTTACTGACAGACATCAACCACGAGGGGTGTAAATTGGACTAGTTGATAGTTCAAGGATCATATAGTCTTTACCCCCAAAAAAAGAGTACAAAATAGTTCTTAAAAAACTACCCAGCTTTTTTTTGAAAAGGGTATATAAATTAAAATACCAAAATCTGGTTCAATCTTAGAAAATCCATACGAATTTTATTTTAGCTCAAAAAATATGAAACTAGTTTTAGTTTTTCTTTTCTAAAGTCATGCTCTATAATATGGTGCATAGATTAGAACTATTTTGATCTTATATGTCCCATCTTGTTGTTTATTTACTAATATAGGCCCCGTTCTGCTTACCCCATATTCGATTTGTTCGGTTTGTTTTTTTAGTCGGAACAGTATTTTCCTCTCACAACAATTCAGCCGGAACAGTGTTTTTTCAACCAATTTCAGCCAAGATTCAGACCAACGAACGGGGCCATATGCTTTTGTTGTCTGTTATAATTGGTCTACGCTGATGATCATATGTAGAAGTTCAAGTGACTTCAATAACAACATAGGTGTCATGTAACCACCTTATACTTTACCCTATCCGGTATGGACACAAGTGACACCTTGGGGATGCAACATTTTTCTGGTTTGGGCAAGAACTGAACAATCTAGCCACCCGATCGGTGTCGACTCGTATAGGTCGTACTAACTAGATACCACCACATCGCAAAGAAACACCATTTTTGTTGCACAAAATGTTTTTTTTTGCTTCTTATTTAGAAACATGTATATAGATTCTGTTTGGTGAGATTTAAAACTATCCGTACAAAGTTGGCACAAGAATGATGTGGGACTTGTGGAAATAAGTTAGCAAGATATTGCCTACTATTTTTGTTCATTGTGGTTGAGGCCGCTCACCAAAGGTTCAACTATGAGGTGGTTAAATGATACTACTTGTGTTGTTAGTGAAGTCATTGGAACCTCTACATGCAACATATAATAATTATTATACAAATAGTATGAGCATATACTAGTAAATAAATATCAAATGAGACTGTATAAGATCTATATAATGCTAATCTATGCACCATATTATAGAACATGATTTAGAAAAATACCGGTTTCATATTTTTTTTGAGCTAAAATAATTTTTCTTTAGTTTTTATAAGATTAAATTAGAGTTTGGTATTTTAAATGCAACGATAGAGAGATCTTGTGCTTATCATATTTTAAATATGATGGTGGACATTAATGATAGGTACACATATGATTGGTCGTTTTGCAGAGTTAACTCACTTGAATATCTTTTGATTTTGGACAATCTAATACTTTATATTTCAAAACAGACGGAGTATTTGGTGTTCTTTTTTGAAGATTTATTTGTTTTATTTTTTGTTAAAGTCTATTTGATCTCCGCTGAACTATTTAATGTAGTCCACTTTGATTGATGGCGTGGTGGCACGTTAAACTAAACCACTTTGAAAGCCACTTAGAGGAAAAACAACCGATTCAATAGTTAAAGGAGCAAAAACATCTGTTTTTTTTAGTTCAGGGAGATAAATCATATCACAACAATAGTTTGAAAGGGGTCAGGAGGACCTTTTGCTATAATTTACTCTTATGAATATCCAGTTTTGAAATCCAGCGTCCAGCATTGATACGTGGAGAGTTAAAGGGACGTTTCCCTTCCCAAAACCGGTGACTAGCAGCCTGTTCGCTTGCTCGTAAACGATCGTAAATTTCCAGCCGGGAACAGTGTTTTTCTCTCACACCAAACCAGCCAGCAGTAAATAATTCACGATACGATACGGCCTCCTAACAGGCTGTAGGTCGTAAAATTAGGCTAAAGTTAGGCCTCTTGATCATTATATGTATGCATTTTTTTCAGATTTGCTAACTAACAATCGCATGTTTTAGGGGAAGCTAGCAACCGGATTATTGACCGTTCGATCTTGTACGTGGTGTCCGATCCAGCTCCCTGCTTCTGGCGTCCGATCCAGTTTCCTCAGCGCTGCTCCGTCGCCGCGAGCTCCTCCTCCTCCGCCCACTCGCACCGCCCTGGCACCAGCTCCCTCCGGCACCAGCTCCCTCGGTGCGAGCTCCCTCCGCCGCCGCCCCCTCCCAACCCTGCTGGGCTGGCCGTCCGCCGCCGCCCCCTAGGCCATCCCTCCTCGGCGCGGGCGCGGGCACCTGTCTCTACTCCCTCCGCCACCAAATCAACTGGAGACGGCGTTGGCCAGCACGGGCCAGGCCGAGCCTGCGCACCAGCAGCCAGCAGAATCTGTATTTTTTCTGAAATTTGTGAATAATTTGTGGACAATTTGATCATTTGTGAATAATTTGATATATATTCTCTTATGTCTGGAATCCATAGAAATAATTTGTAATCTTTTTTTTGAAAAGTTTGACATATATTTGTGTTATTTTCCTAAATTATATTACTTTATCTAATAAATTATACTGAAGTAATCATCGTAAATATAGTAATGAGGTGGTGTAAATATAGCTATAAGACAGTGTAAGTGCATGGGAAAAATCTAGTTGTTGGAAGAGGCTAAAACAACCGGTTGTTAGCTAGACACATTCTTTTGTTTTTGAACGAACAAACATGTATGGAGATAAATTTGTTCAAACTGCTGCTCAAACGCCATCTGTACGTCCTATCTCCAGCGGTGACGTTTCCAAACATTTCAACCATTATGAACTCACCCGAGCAAGCATGAACCCGATCTCTAAACAGTTTCCCTCTTCCTTAAACTGACAAGGATGATCATGAACTTTTAGTTTGAGGACAGAATAAGAGGACCATTTGGGCAGAATAAATTGTGAATCACATCTCCTGGAGATCGGGATATGATCTCCATTTGCAGTAACTAGAATGTTTTGATGTCGATTAGCTGACCGACCGAATCATTGTCACAGAAGTCGTCTGCAACATCAGCAGAATTACAAAGCATAACAGCCAAACAAGCAAAGAATAAGAATGAACAGCGAATTCAACAAACACTGAATATCATAAATACGGTACACAGCACCTTCATTGTTCTGCTGCTGATTAGATCAGTGATCAGGGAACCGGTCATCCTACTTCAAGAACACTTGAAACAAGCTACTATGCCATGAACAAGAACAATGGAGGCACTCACCTTCTTATTCAACAGATTATATTTGGGTACCTTCTCACAAGGATCGGAGACAAACTACCTTCTCGCATGAATCAGAGAGCAGCAGCGTAACTACGTTACACATGAATCAGGAGGGGTTCTTGGCCTTGATTCTGAGCTTCCGCGCGACGGCCGCAGCTCTTGGGTGGGCAGTCTTCCGGCCACTGCTGCCACCACCGCTCTGCTCCATCTCCACCCAGTTGATCACCCGCGGCATCAACGACTGCGGGCAACAGCAGCTGCTTTGCTTCCGTCCGTCACCCATGGCAGACGCCTTGCTCTTCTTCAGCCCAGTCTCCAGCGCGGTCTCCAGGAAGTCCATGAACCAAATGCCTGCTTCGGCCTGTATCTGCTTGGCCAGCTTCAGCGAGGACCCCAGAGCAGAGTGTGCAGTGGTGGTGGCAGAGGAAGGAGCAGAAGAAGATGATCTCTTCTCGTCGCCACCGTCTTCGCCGATCTTGTCCATGGCGAGGCACTTCCTGCTGGCACTCGAGCTCCAGATGGCCTTGCCGCCGCCATCATCCTGCTTCGGGTCCAACGTGCCGGGCGCGAAGGACACTGACTTGGACACGCCACCGCAGCCGACGCCTCCTCTTCGACGCACCACCGCCCTGCTGTGGGCTATCTCCTATAGGACTGGCGACGCGTCCTCGGGCTGCTCATCACTCACCACGGCCACGGCCACCGAGGTGGCCGCCTGAATCGACTCGATGTCGGTGACGGCCTGAACGGCCTCCTGGTGGAAGCTGTCCAAACAGGTGGCCGGCGCTTCCGGACTCGCCGTCTTGCTCAGCTCTTAGAACATCCTGTAGCCACATCGTGAGATCAAATTTCAGTGACCATTGTACACCACACTCACACTCACTGCCAAAACGCTACGAGAAATCACACACATACTTGTAGATCCTAGCCACGTTGACGGTCACCACGCAAGCCTTCTGCGCCTCCTGCTCCTGGGCAGCCTTTTGCACCTCCTGGGCAACCTTTTGCGCCCGCTCTCTCTGCTCGGTTACGTCCTGAATGCAGAAAAAAAACTATGTCAGACAAACAAGAGTCGAGATTGGTGGTCGTGAACTCATGATGGTTTTACTGCTAATCCTAGATCCGATCGTACCTTCCCGAGTAGACTGAGTTTCCCCTTCACTGGCTCGCGAGCAGCTGTGCAGCTCCCCGTGCTCTTCTCCTGCGCAAACACACATTGGAAATCAACACTGATTTGAAAGTAAATAAGGGCGCGACTTGCCCTCCCCAGTGTTTTCCAGTCGAGGCTGACCGTACAGTGGGGAATGGGCTCTTGGGGATTCTGGGATGCTGCTGGTCCCTGTCCGCGGCGAAGCTCTTGCTCCTGGGCAGCCTGGGCTGCACGCTGCTGCTCTTCCTCTTCAAAACAGAGCTCAGCGCCGGCGACGCCGCGACGCCCCACTCCCTACCAGGCGTCGCCGCAGCCCCGCGCTCCCTGACCGGAGTCGACAAGGCCGGCCGCTCCTTGACCAGCGTCCTCTCGCCGTCGAAGTTGAGCATGGTCGGCTTGATGGCGGCGTTCTGCTCGGAGCTCCAGGACCCCCTGCGCGGCGAGGCGAGCTTGGCCCTCGCGGCCGGATCGGGCGTGCCGACGACTAGCGGGTGGCGGCCCGGGAGCGGCCTGGCGCCGACGATGACGGGGACGGGGTAGGCCGGGTCGAGGCGGTCGACGTGGACGTACTGGCCGATTTGGAGCTTGTTGGAGAGCACGTAATCGGCCTGCGCCAGCGGGCGCATGACGTACATAGAGTGAGAGGCCTCGGAGACCCTGACGTAGACCTTGCCGTGCGTGGGCAACAGGTCCTCCTCCACCTCCGCCGGAAAGATGTCCATCACCTGCAGCACCGCTGTCCGATGCTCTCCCACGGCCACGGGCTTGGCAACGCCGGTCTTCATGCCGTCTAGGAGATTCAGGAGGACGCCGGACGACAGCGGCGTCATGTTTACACTTCGATGCGCAGCCGGCAGTCAGTCACAACCAGGTGGCGCAGATCGATTCGTCAGAACTTGAGATTTAGTACTTAAAAACACTGATGTTCTGGTGGGAATTAAATTAGCTAAAGCATAGGCTAATTAGATGTACTACTGCTGAAAAAGAAAATAACAAAGAAACTATATTTTTTTAGGCCAACAGAGGCAGAAATCCGCCTAGAGCAGCAGCCAGCCCAGCAGGGCGCGCGGCCCAGCCGCAAGCCAGGGTGAGGCACACGGCCCAGCCTCTAGTGACCGGCCCCCCAGCCGGCGCAGGCGTGGTCGGTCAGGCCGAAACCTGGGCCTGGGCCGCCGATCTAGCCCGTGAGCGCGGCCGCCGCCGTGGGCTATAAAGGGTGGCGGTTAGGGTTTTCCAAACCCTAACCTCCCAACCTCCAGCCGTCTGTCGCCATCGCCGTCGCCGCTGCTGACACCTCTGCTGCTCCTGTTGATGCCTCTTGTCGTCGTGTGCCTCCTCTTCCTCCCCCCTCCTCTCATGGCGGGCTCGAGCCGAGGCCCTTACTCCGGCCGGCAGGGCGGATCCCGCTCATCCCCGGTGAGCTCTGGCCACAAGGGCCGTTGCTGCGAGCCGGGAACGGCGGATCCGCCCCCACTGGCCCGTCCCAGACCGCTCAGAGGCGGAGAATCGCCCCCTCCTCATTCGAGGAGGAGACGAATCCGGCTTCGACGGCGTGTCCGGGCGGGAGGACGTTCCGGCACTGGCCTTGGTGGTGGTTGGCCGTCACGTCGGCGTAGGAGCGTGGCCCGGACAGTGGCGGTGGCAGTGGAAGCGAGACGTCGATGTCGTAGGCGAAGCCGGACGGCCAAATCTCCGATCCGGTGCTGCGGTTGGGGAGCGAAGGGGCCCCACGGCGCGCGGCCATGGAGCCACCATTGCTATTCCAAAGCAACGCGAGCGGCGTCGGTGGTGGCAACAACAGCGTCACCGGCAGCCTCGGCATCGTCGACGGCATCGGCAGCGTCCTCGGCGGTGCCCCCACGCACCTGACGAACATGGCTGGGCCATGCGTCGGGCAGACGCCGAGGGCGAACTGCAGCGGGGACGACGGGCGTGGCGACGAACGGTGGCCACTGCTCCCTCCAGTGCGGACTCCGTGGAAGCGGCGAGGAGGGATGCGGTGGTCGGAGATATCCCGGAGGGCACGACGGAAGGCGCCATGCAGCATGAAGCGGCGAAGGGCTCTAGCGTGGTTGCCGCGGGCGATGGCGGGCTCCCCGGCGTGGGTGATGGAATCGACCATCGCATTCATGTAAGGTACGGAGTCGACATCTTCTACCTTAGGATGCAGCGACGCCGGTGATTCCTTCTCCGACGAACTCTGTCCTTTCCCTTCTCTTATTCGCGTCAGTGGTGAGCGAGCGTGTCTGATAACGTATTGAATGAAAATAGTGAATGAAAGAATGAAAATAGTGAATGAAAGTGACGGATGTCTATTTTTTGATGAACAGTGTTGTGTACATATATACAAGTTCAATGGGCAGTTGTCTGTTGGTGAAAAGGTGCCTCTCTATGCCGAAAAGGTGTCTCTATATGCCTATTCTGGAACCGTCATTAGTAACTGCTAATGACATGATTAATAATAAATTAATCACTAATAATAATTCTTAACAATAGTCACCCTCCAATTATTAAAACCTAACCAATTTTGTGCTTGTAATGGTTTTAAAAGGGTTTTTTTTCTATTTCTTAAAAATAAAATAAAATAAATCTAATTTACTCCCTCCGTTCCGTTTTATTTGACGTAAGCAAGTTTGTATCTGGCCTAGCACCATAACATGCGCCCCTATTAAATGGTATGCAGCAGTTACCAAGCGTTTTTACCGCTTTTCCCACTCCATGCATCCGTGCATGCATAACTGATTTGTAATTCTATTGGCCTGTTTCTCCTCCCTTTGCTGCATGCAATTGATATCGGCTCCACTAAATATAGAAAACAAAGCTGGATTAAATTATTCTTGGTATGTATAATACTAGTGTTGGTGCTAGATAAAACGGAATGGAGGGAGTACTATAAAAAATTCATAAATAGTTAGTTTAAATTAAAAAAAATATGAAATTAGTACAAATTTTTTTTCTTAAAATGTTCTATGTTTGTTTATGTTCTGCATATAGGTGTTTAGAATTGGTTTATTTCTATTCCTATTGCTTTATTGCTTATCGTTGCACTTATTATCTATTTTAAACAATCAAGAACCGAACAAATCTAAATATAGCACCAAGAGATAGATTACACTTTAGAAGAAAAATGGAACTATCTTCAAATATTTATGATTTAAAATAAATTAATTATGATCAACCATTTTTTTATTATTAAAAAACTGAAAAACACTTTTGAAGCCAAGCAGTGGACCAAATTTGTCCGGTTTTGGCGGTTGGAGGACGTATCTTACCCAGTTTATAGTTGAAGGTTGAGAATTGGACTACGCTGTAAGTTGAAGGTTGAAAATTATACTTTACTCGACTATATATATGTGTTACTTGTTCCATCTACCGTAGAGAGCAGGGGCGTATGTAGCCAAAGGTGGTTTTTTATACATCCGTTCTTCTATAAGTCATAGTATCTGAACTATGCACAAACTCATCTCACACATGGACACACACTCCATGTGTGCCCCATAAACATATAACATTACACATGCGACCAAGAGGTACAGACCATTAGTCTCCAAGCGTTACAAGCATATCACCCTAACCATTATGGAACATTCGTGTTTGAGGATATGAAGAAAATGAGGGGAGGAGGTGCAAAACTCTAAGCAGTGCTCAAACATGGGTGGTGGGTGCTCCACCGAGCGAGCCCAATTGTTCACTTCACTACGCCAAGTAATGTGACGTGAAACAAAGAAAACAAACTCATGATTGTTACTTCTCATAAAACAAGATTTCTATTGTATTTTTTTGGATGAAAAGAGTAGAGAAAATGGAGTTTTTTTTATCACTATTCCTATCTGTCAGGCGACTGAATTTTTTTAGTTCTGTTCAGGCGATGTAGCTCTACTGTTTGCTTGCTGCTCTCACCCAACTTGTGGACCACAGGTGCCGGCCATTCAATCAAATCCAACGACTCTAAAACGTGGCTTGAGAGATTGATTACTTTTCAGGCACCTGTAAATTAGCATCTCCTTTTTTTTTTACCCTCATACCCATCCATCCATAAAACCTTTTGTCCTCCCTTAATTTTTAAAATCATTTATTTTTTACGTTGTATTTGTGCACCATTACAGCCTCGAGATGGGGTGACATCAGACTACAATGTTATTTTTCAAAAAAAATATAAAAATATCTTTCTAGAAAAAATATTCAATTAAAAGTCATAAAAAATAGTTTAATCATAGAAAATAGTTTTGGCTTGAAAAAGTTATGAAACTAGTTTCATTATTTTTGCCAAAAGTCATGCTCTGACTTATGGTGCCGCTTAGAATTATTTGAATTTTTTATGGAGTGTTTTGTGTTTATTTACTGGGTGATGCTCTAATTATATTAGAATTAGTCGATTGCACAAACCACACTATATGAATTTTGATGTCGATTTGCTGGTCGACCGAATCATTGCCACAAAAGTTGTCTGCAACATCAGCAGAATTACAAAGCATAACAGCCAGACTAGCAAAGAATAAGAATGAACAGCTGAATTCAACAAACAATGAATATCGTAAATACGGTACACAGCACCTTCATTGTTCTGCTGCTGATCAGGGAGAACAGGTCATCCTACTTCAAGAACACTTGAAACAAACACTATGCCGTGAACAAGAGCAATGGAGGCAATCACCTTCTTATTCTACTCTATCTGGGGTGCCTTTTCACAAGAATGAGAGAGGGTGGGCACCTCAGCAAGGGTTCTTGGCCTTGATTCTGAGCTTCCGTGCAACGGCCGCAGCTCTTGTCTTCCTGCCGATGCTGTCACCGCCGCTCTGCTCCATCTCCACCCAGTTGATCACCCGCAGCATCACCGACTGTGGGCAACAGCAGCTGCTTTGCTTCCGCCCGTCACCCATGGCAGACGCCTTGCTCTTCTTCAGCCCGGTCTCCAGCGCGGCCTCCAGGAAGTCCATGAACCAGATGCCTGCTTCGGCCTGTATCTGCTTGGCCAGCTTTAGCGAGGACCCCAGAGCAGAGTGTGCAGTGGTGGTGACAGAGGAAGGAGCAGAACAATATGATCTCTTCTCGTCACCACCGTCTTCGCCGATCTTGTCCATGGCGAGGCACTTCCTGCTGGCACTCGAGCTCCGGATGGCCTTGCCGCCGCCATCGTCCTGCTTCGGGTCCAACGTGCCGGGCGCGAAGGACACCGACTTTGACACGCTCCCCAAGCCAATGCCTCTCCGACGCACCACCGCCCTGTTCTGGGCTATCTCCTGCAGGACCGGCGGTGCATCCTCGTGCTGCTGCTCATCACTCGCCACGGCCGCGGCCATCGAGGTGGCCGCCTGGACCGCCTCGATGTCGGTGACGGCCTGCACGGCTTCCTTGTGGAAGTTGAGGAAGCCCTCAAAACAGGTGGCCGGCGCTTCTGGCCTCGCCGTCTTGCTCACTTCTGAGAACAACCTGCAGCAGCAGCAACCAGCGATATCGGTTACCATCGTACATTCCACTCGCAATCGGCAATTGCTGCCAAAACACTACTACGAGAAATCACATACTTGTAGATCCTAGCCACGTTGTCCGTTGCTGATGCGTTACGCAGTGCCTCCAGGGCAATCTTCTGCGCCTGCTCTCTTTGCTCGATTGCATCCTGAATGAAGGGCACAGCAAACTATGTCAGACAAGCAAGAATCGAGAGAGATTTGATGGTCGTGAACTCATGATTCCCTAGATGGAATCGTACCTTCCCGAGTAGACTGAGCTTCCCCGGCACCGGCACGCGAGTAGCTGTCGCCGGTCGCTTCTTGGTGGACGTAGCCGAGCTGCCGAGCTCATCATCAGAAGGAGGCGAGGAGGGCTCTTC